AATAACTATATATAAGGACAAAAATATTTTAATTATTATTCATATAAATTGTTAAATTTTAATCTAAAATTTATATTTTAAAAATTAAATAGTTAAATTAAATCTATTAAAAATGAATGGAGGAAAAAATATAATCAATTTCTAAATTTATGTATCAATATTTAATAAAGTGAATTTTTGAATTTTAAATTAGGTTATCAATTTCTAGACGTAGGTATTAACATTTAATAAAGCAAAATTTTTAAATTTTAAATTAAGTTTTAATTAAATAAAATAACGTGATTTAAAGTTGAATTTTTTTTTTGAGTTGGGACTATATATACTATTTTCTATATATAGTGGGTATCTACTTATATATTACATTTATATAAAATTTCAACTATTTATCTTTTTATTTTTTAATAGTTGAGATTCTTCTACCTTTATTAAAAATAATTATTTTTATTTAATAATTATAATAAATTTTAATGATTAAAAATAAAAAATTTAATAATTAAAATTTTATATAAATGTAATTAGTAATACTTGTTGTTTGCCTAAAGTACGAATATTTAGACAACCAAATTATAATTTAATTAAGTATATTCTAAACGATGCTTCTTCCTGCATTAATCAACATCAATGCGAATTATAATTTGTTTAAATTTTTAATTTGGTCCTTTAACTATTGTATGGGCCCAAATTGACTCTTAAACTAAAAATATCTTTAATTTGATCTCTAAAGGTATTAAATTTAACTTTAAATTAGTCTTTTTGTTAAAAAATAATTAACGTATCTATTATTTGATGATAAAATGTCATTACTTGAGTGTCATGTATCATATTAATAATGTGATATGTCAGCTATGAGGAACTAATTTGTAATTAAATTTAAAAACTTTATGGATCAAATAAAAAAATTTTTAATTTAAAGACCAATTTAAGAAGTCTGTATGATAGTTAAGGGATTAAATTAAGAGTTTAACCTAAAAATCAGTTTAAAATATTCATAAACAATGCAAGCTTTCGTGCCTGATCCAGCGATCTTTCCAACCAATAAATAAATAAATAAATA